GCCACCCTAGGCGTGAAGGCTGTGCTACACACCCGGCTAATGTAGAAGGGTATCAATTGGTAGCGTCTGTTCTCCATAGGAGCAGCTACAAAGGGCATTCCATGTCAGGAGACCAAAAGAAGTAAAGTCACACTGCTACCGAGTGGTACTTCCAGGTCTTCAGACCAACAGCAGGTGCACCCCTCTTTCCTTCTCCATGATGTCTACATCTGTCTCAGTTTATGCTGCAGAAAAGCTGAGACAATGGAACCTGATGGAGATCGTTTTAACGACTTAAGGAATAAGCAACAACAACATAGTGGTTGCTGTCTGTCCCTAACATTCGCTATTGCACGGTCGAGGAACTCTGAAAGAATGATCTTCTCCCTGTGACTTACAACTTATCTATCCTGGCTGCATAAAATCGCCCATTCCATCACATACAGCCTGACTGAATTCATCAGCTTCGCAAGCCACCTTCAGTCAGCTTCTGGCTTAGATAGCGGTTGCTGTCCCTAACACTCGCAATTGCACGGTCGAGGAACTCTGAAAGAATGATCTTCTCCCCGTGACTTACGACTTACCTATCCTGGCTGAATAAAATTGCCCATTCCATCACATACAGCCTGACTGTCTGTCTGACTTAACAGGGTCCGTCCCTACCTGGGAGTGACAATTGACAATTAAAAATAGTTTATTGATATCTAGTCAATGGTCAAGAGAGAGTTTACAGATTTTAAAATAGTAGAGAAAATATATACACCAGACGAGGCCTTCTCCGAAGGTACATCTGGATCCTATCAGGAGCTTAGAATCGTCTTGAGTTCAGACATGCGAGTTATGGAATCCGTGTCCCCAGCGATGACTGTGTTGAGGAACTTGACAATCTTGTGGTAAGGTATCCGGCAGGAAACTAAGATGGGGGTACCTGGGAGTGGGTGGAGCTGGCCATGGACTCCATCTCTCCCTCCAACCTGCTGCTGTAGGACTTCTGGGAGTGGAGCTCCAGCTTGAGCTGCTCCACCTGGTGGCGGTACACGGAGCAGAGTTCGCAGCTCTCCTTACACCACACCGCACTCAAGTCACACCGCTCTACATCTCTGGTGTCACCACCACTCACCAGCCGGCTCTGGACCTGCTTCAATGTCCCCGCTGCTGCACAGATGGCACCAGGTGACAAATCTTGTCACTTTCTGTTGCATTGAATTATATTATATTTGACACATGCTGTGGTATATTTTCTCATTCAGTACTTTTTTCTGATGATGGTAACAAAACTGTTACTGTAATGTCACACACTATTTATTTATTTGGTCTTATTACCTTGTGTTTATCATATATTTTCTCATTCAGTACTTTTGTCTGATATTATAGATTATAAACACAAGATAATAAGACCAAATCCAAATAAATAAATAGTGTGTGACATTTTTGTAACAGTATTGTTATCATCATCATACAAAAGTACTGAATGAGAAAATATATCACAGCCAGTTTTAAATAGTTACTGTTATTAAGTGTGTAAACAAGATAGCCTATAAGAAGAAGATAGTTTTGTAAGAATCCTAAAATATTATTCTTATAATGCGTTTATCATTAAGACTGGGAGCACTACTCAGTGGCAGGCCGACTTAGCTCCAAAAGAAATGGCCGCCTCTGACATGAGGAACAGATGCCATGTACAGCCACTCCTAACATGGAGTACAGACTCATCCTGTATCCCTGGAGCCCTTACAGGGTACTATCAGCTGGGCCAGTTGAGCCCAGTTTTTTATTGAGCTTGTTACTGCTCCCCCTCCTCCTTTTTTATCTAGGGTTGGGACCAGCAAAAGCGGAGTTGAATTTGTTCTTCTTTCTTATGTCCACTCAATCATATAAAGGTATCAAGCTTGTAAAGCTTGTTGATGGTGTCTGCCGGGGATAGGTAGAGCTTGTTGATGGTGTCTGCTGGGGATGGGTGGAGCTCATCAATGGATGAGTCAATAGAATTTGTTCTTTAAAAATGCTAGCTTATACTCCCTCAGGAAATACAACAATTAAAGTGTGGAAAGTCCTTTGCAACTACAGGGGAATCCAGGAAGGCCAATTGTGGAAGGACTTACAAGATGAGGGGTGGGAAGACACCTGCGGAGTGTTGAAGTTTACTTGGAACGGAGGAAGGTGGTCCAGGCCACTCAGGGAGGAAGACCTCCATAGCGCAGGCCGAGGGGCCACAGGGACTGGCACTACTGGTAATGCATCGCTCAGATTCTCCGGGACACTTTGGCAACGCTGTCACCAGACATCACAGAATGTCACGGGTGAACAACACAGAGAGATGGACCTACGTTGTTGTTGGAGGGAGCCTCCTGCTTCACCATCTCAATGGACTTGTTGTCAGCTGAGCAGTAGCGTCTGTGCATCATGGGGGAGAGCTTGGTGATCAGAGAGGTCATCTCCAGGCCTGCACAGATAAACACTGGAAATCCACCCTAAACCACCCCTGGTACATCCCCATTCCTAACAAATCTTCTTTCCACACCTTTACTATGGAAGAACAAACGGCGATTTCAAGATTACGAACAGGACATCTTAGAATGCTCAAATTTAATGGAAATATCAAAAAATTCCCGAAATACCCCAAATGCAATTCCCAACCAGCCAGTCCTGAACATCTATTGAATTGTATCAAATCCTCCAAAAAAGACCTCTGGGAAAACCCCAGGACTATAATAGAAAAGCTGAGACAATGGAACCTAATGGAGATTGTTTAAATGACTTGAGGAATAAGTAACAACAACATTTCATTCCTTCCTTCTGAACACTTGATGTGGTTTCCTTGGAAGAACAAAATAATCCTCAGTTGTACAATAAAACCCTTTGCTGGCATGGAGAGACCTTTCTGCAAGTGTTGTTCTATTTAAAATTACATATGGAAGTATACAGTAGAAACTCCATGAGAGGACACTCATGCTAGAGGACATCTCTCTACAAAGGACAGCTTTCATTTGCAAAATTTCCATTTTTACTATTTAGCAATTCTCCAGTAAGAGAACACGTCTCCTTAAAGGACACTTTGGCTCTGTAATTAGGTGTCCTTTACAGGGAGGTAGTTCTACTGTATTTATAATGGGAGAAACATTTAGAATTCCTGCCTTGTATGGACTGTTCTATTATTGTCCTATGTATTTGAGAATGCATTTATCCTCACCACCATTTTGCATATAAGCAATGTGTTGTTGTTGTTTCTTATCCCCATGTGTAAAAATTACACGGATTCCATGAGTCCATGCTCCTCGAGCTGTTTTATGATAAGCAACGGCCTCTCCCAAAGGTCCTGTTTAGTACATCTTTTTTTTTTACACACATTTTTTTTTTTACAGTACATCTAATACAAGCCAAAATATGTTCTGGAGCTGCAGGTGCCAAGCTACATTTTGGGCAAGTGGGGTAGATTGTATTGTTGTTTTTTTTCTATCTTCAATATAAGCAATGTGGTTTATGAAAGCCCAACATGATGATATTTTTTTACTCTACTTCCCATATTTAAGATACATATAGGGTAGAGTGAATTGGGTAAACTGCTGAGAGGTTTACCCACTGCATAGTCTTACACATACTTTATTTTTGGCTTTATTAAGGTAAAAATTTATTAAGGCCCAGACCTGTTCATAGAAAGAGTTAATGTTATAGTACACGCATGGACAAAACTTAAGGGAGTGGGAAGTCTTGGATGTCGTGGGTTGACTATTTTTTGCCTCTGTCTCAGAGGCAATTTTGTTCACACTTGGTTATCTCGAGTGTCTTCAATAAAGGTCACTGTAATATCTTTCAGTTATTGTATTAATCTTGATATACATGCTGAAAGGTACAACTTCCTTAAGTTTTGTCCATGAGTGTAAATATATACTTTATATGTGACAAAAGTATATTTCACTCCACATTATGGAAAAGAACAATGTGCAAGTATTTAAGTAAATAATACAATTCAGTAACCCCCCCCCCCCCTCTAGATGATTGTATCAAGTCTTGTTCTGGTAGACTTGATGCTGTAACCACACTCCCTCTTTAAAAATCCTGAGTTCAACTGACCCAGTTGATAGACCTCAGCAAGGGTCTCTCTCCAGGGATATGGAGGTCTGTACTAATGTTAGAGTCGGCAGCAAAGGCTTCCATGTTAGGAACGGCCTCAAATTACAGGCAAAGTCAGACTTTCACCAAAGTGTGCCTGGATCATGGGACCATGATCAACGAAAGCTGCACCCCTATACCCCATTCCATGAGATCATGAACCTATGGAATTCATGTAATCTTTACACAAGGGGATGAGAAACAACAACAACAACAACAATACAATTCAGTATAAAATGATGTTTCTTTGTAAACACACCATGGGATGACACTGACCAGCACTCTTGGGCCGTATCTGCAACTGCCGTGCTTGGTCCACACTGAGGACGGCTTGTATCCTGGCCAGCTCTTTACGGTGCATCCTTTGGGCTTCCAGGAACTGGTCATTGACAATCTGCCAGGTCTTCTGGAGGCTGGAGTGGTCCTTCTGCTCCTTGTGGAGCCGGCCCTGAACTGGACACCCCCCTCTTCTGATCATTTGGATCATTGATTAGAGCTACAAGATTTTTTTTTTAATTATCCCTAGTACACGTGGTACAGGTCAAGATAATCAAGGTGGGTAGTTAGCGACTGCTTTTACTGTAAGCGCACCACATGTCTACACATGTGAAAAGCAGTTCGACTTTGCACTTACAAATATGCCAGAGCCCCGTTTGGTTACTTGCACTGGCTGGTGGGGTTGGACTTTTGCAAGAATCGGGGGCCATTGGAGCATTTTTTTTTTTAAATCAGAAAAAAGTGTCCAATGCAGGAATCGAACCCAGGTCGTAGTGGTCGAAAACCAAACGGTTTAACCAGCCTTCCACCGACCCCAAGCTACAAGATGATAAGTCCTAATCCAAATATAGGTGTTTCGGATACGATCACTGCCTCACTTACTAAGCTCGGAAAGCTTGCCACATCCTGGATATGTCTGGCCTTATCTGAATAGGAAAAGCATGAGACTCTTAATCTCAGGGTCGTGGGTTCGAGACCCACGTTGGGCGCCATATGGCAACGCCGGTTATGTAAATCAACAATGTAAATCAAATACACAAAAAGAGAAATTTACATAACTGGCATCTCCAATAGGATTAGGTCTTATTTTCTTGTAGTCATTATTAGATCATTCTATAAAGTGGAACAAACTTCCCCCCATGTCTGTCTACAAAATTTGAAATTGATTTCTAATATACTTCCAGAACACTTAGAAACTCTGCATACTTGCTCAATCCCGATGACAATGCAACTGAACAAATTTTAAGACTTCTGGGTTGTAAGGGTTAAAAATGGTTTTGAAAAGATACTTTTCCCTGGAGACCTGATGTTTTTACTTAATATTGATACAAAAGATTATTTTTGAATAGATGTTGTTAGCTCCACTATGAGGACTGTATTTTGCTCCTAAGAGGCTCCACTCTACTGCCGCCTACCTCGTGAATTTGTTTCTGATCAACGTCACCACGGAAGCACAAGTAAGCACACTGATACTCTGAGCTACCTTATTTTCACAATCTTACAATTTATACATTTGCATGACAAGTGGTCAATGGTCAAACAGAGAATAAAAAAAAAAAACAGATTAATAAAATAAACAATAAATATTCACAGATATATACATTTTAATTCTCAACAGAAGATAAGGCACAATTTGGATTATAGATTATAAACACAAGGTAATAGGATCCAAATAAATAAATTAAAAGTTATCTGCTATCTTGTTTACACACTTGATAACGGTATCTATTTAAACCATGCTGTGGTAAAATTTCTCATTCAGTACTTTTGTCTGTAACAACACTGTTACATCACACACTATTTATTTATTTGGTCTTATTACCTTGTGTTTAATTCTCAACAGATGTCAATATATATAAAGAAGACAATTTCAGCATCCAAGCATCTCACAGAATGGCAGATAATCCAGAAAGAAGGTGTTGAGAATCACCCACCTTGCAGGAGTTCCTGCTTCAGTTGGTGGAGATGGCGCTGGAGCAGGTTGTTCTGGATGTGGACAAAGGTGACAAACATCTTGAGGTCCTGGATGGTCACCTCTTCTGCAGCCACTTCTATCTACAGTAGGACTCTCTCAATACACAACTGGGGAGTGCAGGGGTGGGTACAGTAGAACATACTCCATGAGAGAACACTCCCGCTAGAGGACACCTCTCTACAGTAGAACATACTCCATGAGAGAATACTCGTGCTAAAGGACACCTCTCTACAGTAGAACATACTCCATGAGAGAACATTCCCGCTAGAAGACACCTCTCTATAAAGGACAGTTTTAATAGATGAAATTTTCATTTTTTACTATTTAGCGACTCTCCGGTAAGAGGACACCTCTCCCTAAAGGACACTTAAGCTCTGCAATTAGGTGTCCTTTACAGGGAGGTAGTTCTACTGTATTTAGCAACTCTCTGGTATGAGGACACCTCCCCCTAAAGGACACTTTGGCTCTGCAATTAGGTGTCCTTTACAGGGAGGTAGTTCTACTGTATTTAGCAACTCTCCAGTAAGAGGACAGCTCTCCCTAAAGGACATTTTAGCTCTGAAATGAGATGTCATTTCACAGGGAGGTAGTTCTACTGTACATTGTTGGGGTGGATGGAATACCTTCTGTTTGACAGCAGCCAGGTCCTGGGAAGTGAGTCCCTTTAGCCGGCTGTGGACCTCCTCAGGTTCAAAGAGGTGTAGAAGAATGGAGAAGGCGGCCTCGGAGGTCTGGAGCTCACTGTCAGTGGCCCTGAGCTTGTCTTTCAAGGCCTTGATCTCTTCCTCCAGGGGCAGCACCAGGGACCTCAGCATCTCTGCATCCTCCTGAGCCTGGAGTCACACACTGCCTTCTCTGGGCTCACTCAAGTTCTTCTAACTAAATAGTCATCAAATGCTATTACAGAAAAAACTCCTGGATTGCAATAATTTACATTTTCACAAATACACATGTAAATAGGGTGTGTTTGCATGACTGAAAGAAGATATCCACTATGTAAATTCAGTAATTTGGAGTTGTTACTTGTTGACTCCCATTCAAATATCACATTAATGGAATGACTAGTGTCACCATGGACATTTGCTTTAATTACAGCATTATTTATCTTAGTGTTTTTCATCACTTCATTTTATTGAATCATTATTTATAATTTTGTCATTGGTTCATTATTTACCATTTCATTATTGAATTTGTCATTGAATTATTGAGTAGAAATATCAGGCATCCAGGGAAAAGTATCCTTAGGGAAATAATGATCCAATAATGAAATGGTAAATGATGAACCAATAATGAAATGGTAAATGATGATCCAATAATGAAATGGTAAATGATGGACCAATAATGAAATGGTAAATGATGAACCAATAATGAAATGGTAAATGATGATCCAATGTTGAAATGGTAAATGATGATCCAATAATGAAATGGTAAATGATGATCCAATAATGAAATGGTAAATGATGAACCAATAATGAAATGGTAAATGATGATCCAATAATGAAATGGTAAATGATGATCCAATAATGAAATGGTAAATGATGATCCAATAATGAAATGGTAAATGATGATCCAATGTTGAAATGGTAAATGATGATCCAATAATGAAATGGTAAATGATGATCCAATAATGAAATGGTAAATGATGAACCAATAATGAAATGGTAAATGATGATCCAATAATGAAATGGTAAATGATGATCCAATAATGAAATGGTAAATGATGAATTAATAACAAGTGATAAATAATGATTCAATATAAAATTAAGTATTAAATGCTCTATAAAGACAGTTTTCATCACCAAAATTACAATTTTTACTATGATAAAGCACAATTTAGATTATAGATTATAAATACAAGGTAATAAGACCAAATACAAATAAATAAATAGTACGTTTCGGTAACAGCATTGTTACCATCTTCATACAAAAGTACTGAATGAGAAATTTTAAAACATGCTGTGGTAAAATTTCTCATTCAGTACTTTTGTCTGAAGATTTTTGTCTGTTGTGATATTTGAATGGGAGTCACAACCAACAACTCCAGGTTGACAGAGAGGTGCGACGGGAGAGGTACCTTCTTCATGCTCTCCTCCAGGTTCTCCGTGTTGTCCACGGAGTTGGTCGTGGTGACCGTGGTGTTGGCGAAGGGGATGGGGCTGCCTAGGCCTCCCACCCTCTGTCTCAGGGACTTGGTCACCACGGCAAGCACCCCTTCCCTGGGGCAGCCATAGATACCTATGGAGGACAGAGTATGGAAATATATACACCTATCCCCCAATTTACACGGTACTTGTTTTACACGTTTTCGCTTTTACACGGTTTTCCAAATAAGTTTTTTTTTTTTTTTTTATTGCACTATACTAAAATGCGATATTCTACTCTATACTACCTATGTTGAAAAGAATATTGGGAGGCTCTGATTCATGAGGGGGCGAACACCTATTCAGATTTGACAGTTATATATACACCCATCCCTCGATTTACACGTTTTTCTCAGGAACGTATCTACCGTGTAAATCGGGGGATAGGTGTATATTGATACAGTAGAACATACTGCCCAATGGGGGATTCAATCCTGGACCGTAGCGGTCGAACACCAACAGTTTAGATCATCCTTCCACCGAACCCTTGTGTTGTCAGTCCTTGATTGGTTGAAACTTAGAAGTTGAGTCTCCCCAACTATTTCTCTAGACAAGATGGCAAAGATGCCCTTCAACAGGAGAACTAGAAGTATGACTATGACTGAGTCATACTTCTAATTGTCCTGGGCATCTCTCTTGGCCTGAAAGCTAGAGAAATGAAATATAGTTAAAGAAACCTGGCCCTGGATTACTTGATATTGCCACGTGGAAAATTAGGGAAGACCAACTTCAGGATGACACAGCAATTTATTTCAGGCAAGAACAAACTATGAGTGATCAACAAAAGATAAGCAAAAGAGGGAAGTGTACAGAGTAGGAAAATATAAACATGAAAAATGATTATAACTTGTGCTTGAGTCTTGTTGACCACTCTTGAGTAAAATTTGTATGCACTTTTTGTGGAAAAAGTAAAAAAAAAAATGTTTGTTTCAAAGACCTCCCCCCATCTACTCACCTGTCCTTCCCTTGGTTGAGGCGGAAATCTGCCAGCTCTGATTCATATTTCTCACTGATCTTCTTCAGCTTCTTGAGTTCCTTCTCGTAGTGTGTTGAGGTAGACTGGATGGCGTCTGCCACGGCCTCTGAAACACAACACATAGACACTTATTTCCTACTTACGAGTCACAGCCATGAGGCATATAACCCACTCTAACTCTTTTTGATGCTTGTTGTGTTTCTGTTTCATATCATGTAAAGATTACACAATTACATGAGTCCATGCTCCTCGAGCTTTTTAATGATAAGCTGCGGCCTCTCCCAAAGGTCCTGTTTAGTACATCTAATGCGAACCAAAATGTGTTCTGGAGTTGCAGATGCCAAGCTACATTTTGGGCAAGTGGGGTAGATTTTGTTATTATTTTCTATCTTCAATGGCTTGAGATGGCCTGTTCTAAATCTTGTTGTTTGATGCTGTCTGAGGTTCAGAGCTCCTCCTGGGTCCACTCCACTGTAAATGATGCTTCTCAATACATATCTAAATTTAAATAATTCCTTGAGTCAATAGAAGGTGATAAGACCAAATCTAAATGAATGGTTTCTGATGCTTTGGTAACAGCAATGTTACCATCATCAGACAAAAGTACTGAATACAACGTACAGTTAAACCTGTCTATAGCGCCCCCTCTTGGGACTCACCAAAATAGGGTGCTATAGAAAGGGGGTGCTATAGACAGGTCACTTTTAATGTAAATCACATCGTACTATGTATTTAAAATTGGGCGCTATAGAGAGGGAGGCGCTATAGAGAGGGAGGCGCTATTTAGAGGGGGCGACAGGTTTAACTGTACTTCAGTACTTTTGACTTATGAAGTTAACAATGCTGTCACACACTTGTAGGGTCATTAATCACCACAGACACGGTTAGCCACTAAAG